AAAGTTCACCTCCTTATAATCTAACACAATAGACTTAAGTTATTTTATATAAAGAAACTCTGAATACAGAGATTTACTTTTTCCTCCAAATAGCACTTTCATATTCATATGTTATCTACTTATCTCAGGATTCATAAATGTCTGTTTTTCTAATCCCTTTTCAATTTCTATAGATGATTATTAGGTCTCTGTCATCCTTATTTTCTTTTCTTCTTTACATTCTTCTCCATGTATAGATTCCTGCCTAAATTCATATTTAACAATGGGCTAACAGCTGCATTTCAGCATGCAAAGTCAGGTTTAGGTTAAAACATTTAACATAAATATTACTCATTAAGCATAAATATTACTTATTAAAATTCATTTGTTGCATTCATCTGTTCCATCATGACAACATCATGAAGAAAGATGGAAAGGGAATTTCTGGACGTTTTCTCCTTTAAGGTAACTTCATATTAGTTAACTCTTTCTGGTCTGCCCCTGGACATGGGAGCTAATCATCTTTTCTGTGATCCCAAAGCCTCCTGGTAAATACACTGCATTTCCTTATGGCTCATTTCTACATATATCTGTTCTGTATTTGTATGTCTTTCTCCCTAATGAGACCACACAGCTCTTTAAATTAAAGATTACATTTGGGATTGCCAGGTGGCTCAGTGGGTTGTGTCCAACTCTTGATTTTGGCTCAGGTCATGATCCCGGGATCATGGGATCAAGCCCTGCTTCAAGCTCTAAGCATGGAGCCTTCTTGGGATTTTCTCTCTCCCTTTCTCTCTCTGCCCTCCCCTTCTCTCTCTCTCTAAAAATAAATAAACAAAAAATTTGTAATTAAAAAATAAATTAATTAAGGATTATATTTCATTCACTTTTATTTCTCTAGTACTCACTAGAAAACCTGGTACACATTAGGCACTTAATGATTTTTGGTGAGTAGACAAATATCAAATGATTTCTTAGATATGTATTAAATATTTACTAGGATACACACTTATCATTGGGATTTAAGAAAGTAAAGAAATATCTAGGCATGGTATAGACAACTACCAAGTCAAAGTTGTAGATACCTGTAGGCACACTGAAGCACTTACAAGCAAACATCATACTTTCTTACACATATTATTCATTCATAAATAAGCCCATTGACAAAGAAAGGCATAATGTGGATTTTACATATACTCTTGTAAACATAGCTTTGTCAATCTTCTTCTCTTTTCTCTTAGGGCCACCCACCCTCATTCATTTCTTAGATGTGACAGCTTGAGTTATCTACCTCTCCCCCAAGTCTTCAGCAGATATGCAGGGTCCTATGTAAGGCATGAAAGATGGGCTGAATATTCCATTTGTTTTCATCTAATGAGAACATGAAGGATAGAAAACTTTCCCCTTACCTGGACCACCAACTCTATTTGTATGGATATATCTGATTATGTTCCACATTGTATGCTTTTTGGATACTATACTTAACTTACATAGATTATTTATCTCTCAGTCTCTCCATCTGACAGTTAGCAATTATAATGAAAAGTAACTCAAAGAATTCTCATTATGATCAATTAGATAAAAGCATGAGGCTCTCACAGCATCAAGTAGCAATAAGATCTAAATATATAATTGATTTTATTCTATTACTGGTATTCCCTGGAGCATCCCAGTTCTACATCTAAGCTTTTCAAGCCACTTTAGAAAAATACCTGCATCTCCCACTTACAGTTATGGAGTTGAATCTTAATCTTAAATGCAGTACCTGTGCTCATCCCTATTACAACTCATTTTGCTAGTTTCGTTCCATGGCCCATCTGCCAACAATACTTTTTAGATTCAGATGTTCAGTAGTGATAGCATTTGATAATGATGCTAAGAGGTTTGAGGGAGCTATCGAGGGAGGGCCAGTGAATGCATCAAGGAGGATCAGCAAGAAGTGAGATAAAGGGAGTGATTGGAGAGGATGTCTCATGAGGGAATACTCACGACATGGGCAGAGAATAAAGAAAGGTGAATGGTAGATATAATATAGAGATACCAAGGCATATGTGATTTCTATAGGTGCATGAGTTAGAGAGATGGAAAGATAGGAAGATCTGGCATTTAATCTTGGATATGGTAGAGTTCTGTGTGAGGGAAATGTCTTAGGAATAGACATGAGAAGGGATGGTCAGAGTGGAACATAATTGGAGGCTGATACCAGCCAACTGAAAATTATTACAAAATGCCAGAAGAGAATCTGAGCACTGGAATATCCTATGAGAACTACTGCTCAACAGTTAGAGAAAACGAACTATTGCTAAACACAACTTAGATGAATCTCAAAGGCACTATGCTAAGTGAAAGAAACTAATACAAAAAGTTACACATTGTATGATTTTTGTTAGGTGACATTCTTGAAAACACAAAACAGGGCTGATAGGAAACAGATTAGTGATTGCAGTGGGATGTATAATTCTACAAGGTAGGTGTGAGAAACTTACTTTTGGGGTGTTAGCAGTTCTGCATCCTGAACAAGTCAATTTTTCAGTCTCTTACCACAGCAAAAGAGAAAACCAGTTCCAATAATACCTTTGTTTTAGAAGTGAGCAACTAAAGATTGAAGTGAGGCCTGGAGAGAATCACATGGCTACAGAGTGTTTCTAGAACTCCCCCCCACCTCCCTATACCTGTGTGCAGGGTCATGCCTGTGCCCACAAACCACTCATGAAAGAAGGGGAAAAGAACAAGACCCAGGAAAAGGAGATTTTAAAGGTTTAGTAAAAAGTTTGAAAATATCTGGGTAAAAGTTTATTTCTCAGATTTCAAGCAAGAAAGAAGAGAAAACTACATCTTCAGGACAATGTTAAATTAAGTGTCTAAAACGATTACCTTTTATTCCTGAATCAGAATTGTTAAATAAGTGCCGAATTATGTCCCTAAACAGGATGTTTGAAAGCTGTGTGTGTTGCTTAGTTTTCTTTTTCCCTTCATGAATACGCCACAACCTGAGTCATGTATATGCTCTTAGAATAATACCCGAAACAGGGTATTTGCTGTGCCTGAAACGCTGAAGTCTATAGTGGATTAAATACAGCAGCCCTACCCACACCACACAAATACAACTGTTTATCTTTTTCTGAAGAACTGCATTAAGAGCTTTGGAGGCTTACAGAAGGGCAGTCATCCTTAGGAAGATCACAGGCTGATGGGGAAACACCATTACCGCCCCTGCTGAATTCTGAAGGTCTCCCCAGGGTTCTTTCTATAAATGCCCTTTATTAACTTACAAAAGTTGGGGTCAATTTCTGTAACTTGCAACTTCTGCTGCTTATAAAGAATTATAAATAGTACAGTAAGTATAATGGTATTTTTCACACTGGATATCCTCGGGTTCTTCATTGCTAGAAAATGCATCTCCAGATATACTGCATTTAAGGAAAAGATGAGTAAGTGTAAGAGTCGAGGCAATTGATAAAGCTTTTTCTAGTGAAAATGATAGATGAGATTTTTCCATGTTGAAGTTCCTGGAATATTCGTAGAGTGCTTATTCTTCTCTCTAGATATGGCATAAGTATGGAAAGTTTCTTTAGTGAGGCAGACAGAATATAGACTGGACCGACTATTTCCTAGGTTCCTGGTTACACAGGTTTTCAATAAGAAAATAGGGTGTTGGGAGGATGTCCAACTAGAAGAACCAACTTAAGAAAAACCAGAAGCCTTCAGAACGTATAAATATTTAAGTCACAATTATTAGTATTATTTTTTTAATCTTTGTAATGTTTATTCATTTTTGAGAGACAGAGTGCAAGTTGAGGAGAACCAGAGAGAGAGGAAGACACAGAACCCAAAGGAGGCTCCAATGTCTGAGCTGTCAACACAGATCCGGACACGGGGCTCAAACTCACTAGCTGTGAGATCATGACCTGATCTGAATCAGATGTTCAACCAACTGAACCACCCAGGCGCCCGTAGGTCACAAGCATTGTTACCTATAACATGAACAACAGGCAATACATGACAGCTCCCCAAAAGGAACAGCATAAAACCTTTTGAAAAATTGAAGGAAAACACTTCTCCCACAGCGGATAACATTACTTCTGCCAGGTTTTCAGACTTGATTATCAACGGGAAAAGTTCATGAGGTGAAAAAGCCCTGAGTTCTTTTATGTTGAGAAGCAAGCAAGGGGAGATAGAAACAGGAGGTACTTAAGTCTATACTCAGTTTTTACAGAAGAAAAATATTAGGAAGTGAAGGAGAAAGCCAGAAGGAAGAAAAATTGGTATGTTGGGGTCCAGCAGCCATGGAAACGAACGCAGGGTGCTAGGGGATCTGGCTTCAGCTGACTCATAGGATATTGGTTGTTATTTGACTTTTAATCTGAATCTGTATCAGTTTCCATTCAATAATAAAATCCACTAATATATTAAAGGGAAACTGAGGTTTCAGGAGTAAGCTTTCTAGAGTTCTGTACATTTGCTAATTTTCCTCACTAAGATATGTTTACTTTTAGAGCAACATAATTTCCAATACAGTTAGATTCAAAGCATAGAGATGAGGAAATGATATATCACTCTAATTATCCTTTATATAACACACAAAATGTACTATCAGCTGCACGTCTTCATTCAGATGAGCAGTCTTTGATCCAGGCTATTTCTTCTTTCATCTGACATTTTCTGAAGTAGTACTTATTCTTCCTTCACTTACGGGATCTGGAATGCCTCATCTCACCTGTTTCCTATAGCCCTTTCCCCCCAAATCACCACCATTTTCTCTTAAATATATATTACATATTTATAATATATCTGCTAATAAAATATTATATATTCTATTCCATTATGCATTCTAATTCATATATTATATGTATTCTATAAAACATCCTACACATATTCTAATCTGAAATATGTTTTCTAATATTTCATCTATATTAGTTTTATGTAATAATTAAAATCTCATCTAACTCTTAAAAAAGAGACTGAGTGTAAAGTCAAACTTTTACAAAATCCCAGAGATCTCAAGATTCTGAAATACAAGCTCAAGCCCTTCTGTGCAGAGAACATAAGCAAATGATGCTTCTCTGAATTTGCTTGGTCTTGATGCTATATATAATGGGGTTCATGAATGGAGGAAAGAGAAAGTAGATGTAACTCATGGTAATGTGGTCCGCATGTGGTTCATGTTTCCCGAACCTGTGGATGAAAGTTAGGCCAATCACAGTAATATAAAATACCAGAACACAGCTAATATGGGAGACACAGGTGTTAAGGACCTTAGCTCACTCTTCTCCAGAAATGATGCCCATAACTGTCTTCAGGATTAAAATATAGGAGAAGAGGATAATCAGAGCATCTAGGAAGAAAGTCAAAGCAACCAGAATAACTGGATAAACACGATTAAATGTGATGTCAGCACAGGCGAGTTTCATGACATCTTGGTGGAGGCAAAAGGCATGGGAAAGAACATGGGAACGGCAATATGGGAACCAATAGAGGGGCACAGTTGGGGGCACAGTGGACGCAAAGCCCCTCATTAGTACCCCCAGTCCTACCTTCATCACCCAGGAATTGGTATGAATGGAGTTATAACTCAGAGGGGTGCAGATGGTGATGAATCGGTCATAGGCCATGGCAAGCAAGACACCCGATTCCACAATGGCCAAGGTGTGAATGAAGTAGGACTGAGTGAAACAGGCACCCTGAGCAATTTCCCTCTGGTCCAGCCACAGGACACCCAGGACTGTGGGCATTGTGGTTAGTGTCATCCCAAGGTCTGTGCCTGCCAGCATAGCCTAGAAGTAGTACATGGGCTCATGAAAACTGGAGTCGTTCCAAATGAGAAAGAGAAGGGTGCCATTGCCCAAAAGGATGGAGAGGTAGATGATAAGGAAGAGAAGAGAGATCCAGTTGTGAACTGCCTCTGCACCCAGGAAGCCACTCAGCAAGAAGGGAGCAGCACTGTTGTTGATCCACAGGGTAGGGTTTTCAAGTGAAGAACTTTTTCAGGAGTTATGACCTCTTAAAAGGCAGTATTCTTTCTCTCTCTCCATCTTCCTGTAGCACACTATCAGGCCACTTTTCACCTCAAACCTCACAAGTTTTTGTGGGTTTTCTCAGTCTTCATTAATTCACAAGACCTTTGCCTAGAATAAGAAATAACAATAATGGTAATTGTATTAATAATCTCGACAATTTACTCTTCAGAATTCAATTTATATTCCTTCTATGACACTTCTTACTCCGAGTCTCCCACATCATTCCTTTGGGCTGTTTTGTTCTCTTTGTTTTTTCATTCCTCCTTCTATTTCTTTCATACAGACCCTTTATGTTATTTTGTTCCAGTTTGGGCCAGTTCAGATTTTCTCTCTTGAAACCAACCATCTGTTTGTCTCACTGATTAATCACTGAGGAAAGTAGTTAATCAATGGAAATGAGTCTATTGTCATGAAATGCCTGAAGAAATTTTGTCATCAATATCGCCATCTCAAATGGACTGCGAACAAGATGACTCATGTAGGGGTGCAGAGAAGTCTGAACAAGTGGGCACAGGTGGTAAACTCAGCCTAGATGAGTGGAATTACTCAGTGGATGAGCACTTCGGAAATTTTCAGTGCTGCCAAGGATCTGATGCCTGTAACAACAGGGACAAACTTTAAAACAGGAAGGGGGGCACCTGGGTGGCTCAGTGAGTTAAGCGTCTGACTTCGGCTCAGGTCATGATCTCACGGTTCGTGGGTTCGAGCTCCACGTCGGGCTCTGTGCTGACAGCTCAGAGCCTGGAGCCTGTCTTTGGATTCTGTATCTCCCTCTCTCTCTGACTCTCCCCTGCTCACGCTGTCTTACACTCACTCTTAGAAATAAATAATACATTAAAAAAAAAACTAAAATAAAATAAAATAAAATAGGAAGGGACAGGAGCTGAGAAATCCCAAAGGAAGTGAGAAGACAGAGTCCTAGAACAACGGCCTCTTCAGAAACCAGAAGCCTAGCACTTTTACTGAGCCACAGTATTAAAAGAAACAAAGAAAAAAATTAAAAGAAAAAAAAAAGATGTGCGTATTGGAAAGGCAAAAGCAGTATCAGAAGTTAATGATTGAATGCAACTTTACACAGCCAGTTCTAAGAGGAAGATAAGGGCTCCCAGAGGAAAAGGTTAAGGACTATAATGTTGGTGATGATAGCTGGATAAACCTTCTGTTGTGAATCTAGAAAGCCATGTCTGGAAAAATTAAGAATGGGCTTCTATAGGGAACTGTGAAGTATTTTTATAATTTATTTATAATTATACTCATCAAATCAAGTTAGCTTTGTTTGCATAAAACTGAGAAATTTTGTGACCAGGTGATTATGATAATGATTAAAGAGGAGGCACCTGGGTGGCTCAGTCGGTTAAGCATCTGACTTCAGCCCATGTCATGATCTCATGGTTCATGAGTTCTAGCCTGGCATTGGGCTGTCAGCACAGAGCCTGCTTTGGATCCTCTGTCCCCTTCTCTCTCTGCTCTGCTCACGCTCACTCTCTCTCTCTCTCAAAAAAATAAACATTTAAAAAAATGATTAAAGAGAACCACAAGAGAAACATAAGTTTCTCTCAAATCAATTGAATCAATATGCACCCAGGATCTTTTTAAACATTGTTTTCTCATAAACATCATCATTGACAGTTCTAAAGAGGAATTTAGGAAGAATGAGGGGACAGTGATCTTTGAACTACCTCCATTTCACAAAAACCTGTAAAAATGAGAACAAATCTGTTTTTTTTTCTTTTTTTGAGAATTTGGCACATGGTAATATCTGTGACTGGGGAGCCTCGGTGGCTCAGTCAGTTGAGCATCTGACTTTGTGGTTCCTGAGTTTGAGCCCCGTGTTGGGCTCTGTGCCAACATGACAGCTCAGAGCCTGGAGCCGGCTTCACCTTCTGTGTCTCCTTCTCTCTTTCTGTCCCTCTCCCACTCACACTCTGCCTCTCTCTCTCTCAAAAATAAATAAACATTAAAAAAATTGTTTTTAAATCTGTGATAATGAGCAGTGGCCGGTGGAGGGAGATAAATAAACAAAAGATGAATGTGCTGTGGAAGTGACCATCCCTTCTGGGGGATACTGTCAGTGACAGAAAGGTTAATCTGAGCATCAAAGTGGCAGCTACTCTGTTAATATGACTACTGATAAGATTGCTTAATAAAGATGGGATTACAGTAGGTCTGATCTCACTAGATTATGGAAGGTAGAATGACTAACCACTGCTCTTGCTGTCAGCATGATGATGTCCAGGAAGACTATCTCTATCATATTATTTGTACCCAAGCTGAATAAGAATTTGTGTCAACTAAACACAATGCTAAGGAATTGTATTCTCTAAAAGTCATTTTGAAAAAGTTCTTGGGGCGCCTGGGTGGCTCGGTTGGTTAAGCGTCCAACTTCGGCTCAGGTCATGATCTCACAGTTCATGGGCTCGAGCCCCATGTTGGGCTCTGTGCTGACAGCCAGCTCAGAGCCTGGAGGGTGCTGCAGATTCTGTGTGTCCCTCTCTCTCTGACCCTCCCCTGCTCATACTTTCTTTCTCAGAAATAAATAAAACATTAAAGAAAAAGAAAAAGTTCTTCTTCAGTGCTTGAAAATAAATACTTAATTTCCAACACAAAGTTTGGGGACAACTTCACCAAAATATATACCTCCCTATAATCCATTTCCTCCATCTTTCCCCTGCTTGTCTAACAGTGAGCAGTCTTCTTTAACCTCTTCAGCAATAGTCAAATACTATCAGATAAACACAAGCCACTGTGTGCCCAACAAGCACACTAATGATGCTGGTCCACTAGAGCTTGAGTCTTCCATTCTTCTCAGACCTAAATTATAAGTAATTGAATAAACTTTAACTTGAAAGTCCATACCAGGTGGCTGAGATCCTTCTCACATAGCATGAGAGAACTAATAGTGTTTTAACTTGAAGGTCCTTGACCAGTTTAACAGGGGTTTCTTTGATCAAATATAACATTCTACAAGAGGTAGCCCATCCCTAAAATGTAACTATCAGAGTAGGATACAATATCCCAGTAACTGGGTCACAGGAACCATAAATTTTCTCATAATTTCTATGCATCAACCATGACTTGCAAAGCCAGCCTTTGCTCAGGCATAAGAACCTCTGCACCAAAGTCAGCAAGTCAAGACGGGAAGAATCTGGAGTGAAATTTTCTAGTAAGACATTTATAAATGCGAAACCAGCTTTAGAAGTTTGGTTTATATTCACCATCAATGGCTTGAGCAGTGCACTCAGGGGCACACCACTCATGAAATTAGTGGAGGAATAATTGTTTCATAATGAAATACAGCCAAGAAAAATTTTCATACATAACCACACAGAAAATTTCTCCCCAAAACCATTTCTTACATGTTTCTTTTTTTAAATCTTTTAATGTTTATTTATTTTTTTAAGAGAGAGCCAGAGAGCAAGAGGAGGAGGAACAGAGAGAGGAGACATAGGCTCCAAGCTAATACCACAGAGCCCAACGTGGGGCTCAAGCGCGAAAACCGTGAGATCATGACCTGAGCTGAAGTCCGATGCTTAACCAACTGAGTCACCCAGGTGTCCCAACCATTTCTTACATGTTTCAGGTATTGGATTTACTCCTCTCCACAGTTTCCTTATCTTCTCAAGATAGAGTTTTACAAAGAGTAAGCCAGAGCCAATATTTGTTGTATAGAAATCACCAGTTCTAACCTTTCTTCCTGCATACCTACAAAATGTGGAGGTGTTATGTTTCTAGTTCTGGAATGCTTCTATTTTCTATTTTCTTGTTGCCTTTCCACACCATTCCAAGTCAAATGAAAAGTTTATTTAAATAATCTGAAGGGGCGCCTGGGTGGCTTAGTCGGTTAAGGGTCCGACTTTCGCTTGGGTCATGATCTCGCGGTTCGTGGGTTCAAGCCCCGCGTCGGGCTCTGTGCTGACTGCCAGCTCAGAGCCTGGAGCCTGTTTCAGTCTGTGACTCCCTCTCTCTCTGACCCTCCCCTGCTCACACTGTCTCTCTCTCTCCTAGAAATAAATTTAAAAAAAAAAAAACATTAAAAAAAATAATCTGAAATGTAAACATGTGTTCTCCAAGAAGTGTGCCTGGTTTGCCAAGTCAAAGGATGAGTTTGGACAGTATAATAGTCAAAGTGAGAGGAGGTGAAGATGTATGTTTAGGTAAGCTTAGGGCATAATTAAGGGAAAGCATGAATAATTTACTAATGATTTTATGAAATTATCTGTTTGTGAGGGATTTATGTCTTCTTTAGGAAAACATGAAATGCAAAGTAGGGGTTCAAGGAATCTCTAGACTCAGACTAGAGAAGTATTTAAAAGAACATTTGGAAACTCTGATTTAAAAATAATTCAGTGAGAGGGGCAAGATGACGGAGAGGTAAGGAGCTCCGTAGTTGCACTCACGCCCATACATCACACAGAAAAGATCTGAAGCCATTGGAAACCTTACAAAACCTGAGAGATTGGAAGAAAAAGGATGCGGAATCCACTGAGAAAGACTTCTAACGTGAGTGCGAACTGGGGAAGATAAAATCGGGCCGGGATCGGAGACTCCAGGGTCGGAGGCGATCCCCCTCTACCCTCTATGGGGAGTGAGAGGGGAAAAAGAGAGAGTCCAAAACAGAAAAATCTCCACTCAGGGCATAGAAAGACCATACTTGCCAAATACCTGCATGCCAGGTCCCATCATGCCAACTGGTCCCGGGGGAGCTGAGTGCACAGACTGCTTCTTTGTGCTGGCTCCTGGTGGGCTGGACTTCATAGTGGTGGCATGCCTGCCGCTATTGTCCTCCCGGGCGGCTTGAGCCCCTGGAAGAGCTGTGCGCAGACACCGGACATCCGCGCTCCCGGCTGGCTGGAACTCTAGAGGGAAGGCAAAGAAGTAAAAACAGGGAAATTTGCCTGTGAGTTCGTGTTTCGGGTGACGAGCCATAGAGGGACCTGGTTTTCCTCACTTCAGCGGGCTCCACGCACCCGGCAGGCAAGCCCCCCGCCCATGCTCACCAGCCCGACCCAGAAAATGAAGTAGCGATTCTGACTCCACCCCCAGAGCTCGGCAGGGGGCCTGGAATTGCCCCAAGGGGATTGCCTGGGAAGTTGTGTCTAAAGCAATTTCAGCGGGGCACGCGGACTGGGATTTGGAGATTGGGACTGGTCTGAGTTGAAGAGTGCAACCAACTTTGGCTGCGCCCCTGGTACAGGGAGTTTACACACCCAAAAAAGCAAGGTGCAGCGCTTGGTTCAAGAAGGGACAGGAGCAGCGTCACTCTCTTCCCCACAACCGCCAAGGCAGAACTCCCGCCTGAGGCATTGTATCACGCCACGCCCATCCCTCCTTGAGAGCTGCCCTCCTCCCTTTTTTTTTTCTTTCTTTTTTTCTTCTTCTTTCTCTTTTCTCTCTTTTTTCCCCAGAACACTGACCTGATTAACTCTGGTCGCCGGCTTGCTTAAACAATCACAAGTCCATTCTGTAGATGTAAATTCTACACCTACCGACCTTTTCATCTCTTTCTCTCAGGAGTAATTAGACGATATAGTTTCTCTGGATAACCCCAGCATCCTTCTCTCACCTATCCAACCATATTCTACCCTTTACCTCTTTGAAAAAAACTTCTTATCCCTTCTGCCTGTTCATTCTATTTCCAATTTTGCCTCATCCCCGCCCTGTCTTCTCTCTCTATCTCTATGTTCTTCAACCAGCACTACATACACACAGGTATTTAACTGTAGCTGGGAGGGGCGCCCGGGTGGCTTAGTCGGTTAAGAGTCAGACTTTCGCTCAGGTCATGATCTCGCGTTTTGTGGGTTCGAGCCCTGCGTCAGGCTCTGTGCTGACTGCCAGCTCAGAGCCTACAGCCTGTTTCAGAGTCTGTGACTCTTTCTCTCTGACCCTCACCTGCTCACGCTGTCTCTCTCTCTCTCTCTCCTAGAAATAAATAAAACATTAAAAAAAATTTTTTTAAATGTAGCTGGGAAATCCAGTTATATGCTTTAAACCATTCTTGCCCATCGGTTTTCTTCTTTTTTCCTTTTCTTTTCTCCTTTTTGACCCTTTTATGTATTTTTTACTCCCTATTATTCACCTTCCCTCCTCCGTCTTTTCTCTTAACTGTTTCGTTTTCCATCTTGCTTTCCATGTTAGTTGAATTAGCCTGTGCGTTTGTATGCTCCTACTCCCTGTGTGTTTGTCTGTCTGTTTTCTTTTCCAGGGCTACCTCAAGAAATAAGCCAGAGTACAGAAGGTGGAGAGTCCCAAATATTACTACGAATAGGAAAATAAAATAACCAAGGTCCGAACAAGAGAGACCAAGAGTTACCATTCAAAAAACACTCTCTGAAAGGATAGGCCCTGGACAGTCAAAAAGTCTTGATGGTTACAGCAGCGCTCATCAGTGCAAGGAGCATAACAGGTCTTTAAAACCAACAAGAGCCGGAAAGCTAACTAAAATGACGAAACGAAAGAGCTCTCCTCCAAAGAAACTCAAAGAAGAAATGACAGCTAAAGAACTGCTCAAAACAGATATCAGAAGCATAACTGAACAAGATTTTAGAATAATAATGGTAAAATTAATAGCTGGGCTTGAAAAAACATAGGGGACATCAAAGAAACTATGGCTACAGACAGAATGGAAAATAAAAACAGGCATGAAGAATTAAAAAATGCGATAAATGAGATACATAATAAATTAGAGGCCTCCAATGCACGGATTGAAGAGGCAGAAAGGAGAATAAGTGATTCAGAAGACACCAAGATAGAAAAACAAGAAGGTGACAAAAAAAGAGACAAACTGATCCCGGAACAGGAGAGAAGAGTTCGAGAGCTCAGCGATATGGTCAAACGCAAAAATATCCATATCATAGGAATCCCAGAAGAGGAAGAGAGAGGGAAAGGTGCTGAAGGAGTCCTGGAACAAATTGTAGCAGAGATTTCCCCGACCTAGGA